TAAAAATGCTATGTACAGTATGTGACTGGCAAACACAGCTTTAAACAGCTATACACATAAAATCAACATATTTTTCATTAAAACATCATTAAAAATTGCAGAAAAATATATACTCTATATCTTATTTTTGTTTGCAACAAATACATTGTAACTTAACTAAATGGTCATTCAATTTGGCAACTGAATTTAGCTATTCAAGCATTTTTTGAATTACTGTAAATATCTATTGTAAGCATCTGCCCATCGACTTCTATTTCAACAGTCTCCCTATTGACTTCTAATATACACATCTTCCCACTGGTTTCTCTTTTAATCATCTGCCTATTGACTTCTATTTTAATAACCTGTCCTTTTATTTCTCTTATAAACATTTTCCCATTGACATCTATTTTAATCATCTGCCCATTGATTTTTGTTATAACCATCTTCTCATTGACTTGTATTTTAATATTTTGCTATTTGACTTCTATTTTTATAACCTCCCCACCAATTTCTATTTTAAGCATTTTTCTGTTGACTTCTGTTTTAATGACTCGTCCATTGATTTCTATTATGAACACATTTCAATTGACTTTTATTTTAATCGCCTGCCCATTGACTTCAATTATAAGCATCTGCCCACTGACGTCTATTTTAATCATCTGCCTATTGACTTCAGTTATAAGCATCTGCCCACTGACGTCTATTTTAATCATCTGCCCACTGACTTCTATTTTAATAAGATACCCACTGATTTCTTTTTTAAGCATATTTCCACTGACTTCTACAACTCCTTTTCCAAAAAAAAAAAAGTTGGGACGCTGTGCAAAATGTAAATAAAAACAAAATGCAATGATGTGCAAAATACTGCAAAGACAACAAATCAAATGTTGTAACTGAGAATTTTTATTGTTTATTGAAAAATATTTGCCCATTTTGAATTTGAGGCCAACAACACATTCCAAAAAAAGTTGGGACGGGGGCAACAAAAGGCTGGTAAAGTGTAGAGCTAAAAAGTGTAATGCAAAAAAAAAAACACCTGGTGGTTGATTGGCAACAGGTCAGTAACATGATTGTGTATAAAAAGACCATCCCAGAGAGGCTTTTTGAAGTAAAGATGGGGAGGGATTCACCACTCTGTGAAAGACTGCAGGAAAATAGTGCAACAATTCAAGAATAATGTTTCTTAATGTAATACAACAAAGAACTTTTGCTTTTCATCATCTACAGGCCATAATATAGAATCTGGAGAAATCTCTGTATGCAAGGGACAAGGCCAAAAAACAGTATTTGCTGGCCGTGATCTTTGGGTCCTGAGGTGGCACTGCATTAAAAACAGACATGATTCTGTGAGGAAATCACTGCATGGGCTTAGGAACATTTCTGAAAAAGACTGTCTATGAACACAGTTGATCGCTGCATCCACAAATGCAAGTGAAAACTCTAAAATGTAAAGAAGAAACCATATATAAACAGGATTCAGAAATGCTGACACCTTCTCTGAGCCAGAGCTCATTTAAAATGGGCTAAGGTGAAGTGGAAAAGTGTCGTCTTTTTCAGGGAAGGCCTTGCTTATTTTAGCAAGATAATGCCAAACCACATTCTGCATGTATTACAACAGCATTGCTCCGTAGTAAAAGAGTCCGGGTGCTAAACTCGTCTGCCTGCAGTCCAAACCTGTCACCCACTGAAAACATTTGGAGGATTATGACATGAAAAATGTGACAAATGAGACCTGAACTGTTAAGCAGCTGAAATCCCTGTGAAAACGTCACTTTCAATACTACAGAAAAGAAGAGGTGATGAAACACAGTGGTAAACATGCCCCCGTCACAACTTTTTTGGAATGTGTTGTTGGCATCAAATTCAAAATGGGCATATATTTTTGAAAAAACAATTAAATTTCTCAGTTTCAACATTTGAAATGTTGTCTTGTCGTAGTATTTTCTTTAAATATGGTTTACATGATTCGCATATCATTGCATCCTATTTTTATTCACATTCTGCACAGTGTCCCAACTTTTTTGGAAATGGGGTTTTATTTTTTATTATCTGTTTATTGACTTTATTATAAGCATCTTCCTATTCACATCTATTTTATTTATCTGTCCTTTGACTTTTATTATAAGCATCTGCCCATTGACATCATTTTAATCATCTGCCCACTGGCTTCTTTTTTAATCACTTGCTGATTGATTTCTATTGTTAACATCTTCCCATTCATTTTTTTTAAATCATTTGCCCATTGATTTCTATCATAAACATCTTCCCATTGACTTTCTTTTTAAATAATCTTCCCATTGACTTTTATTATAAGCATATCAATTGACTTCCATCTTCCCATTGACTATTTTCATTATTTGCCCATTGATGTGATTGGTTTTATTATAAACATTTTCCTATTGACTTCTATTTTAATCATCTGCCTATTGATTTCTGATACAAATGTATTTTTAGTCTATTTTTTTCTGTTCAGAGAACTGAGTCAAAAACCATGTCCATGATAACTGACTGCATGCTACCAAGTTGTCACACAGAGATAAGACTGAAGAAAGCTGGAGTATTCCTTTAATGCTACAGGTCACACCCATAACACTGCGTTCCATCAGCAGTCCATCAGGTGCTGTTTTACTGTATTAAAAGGGAGGATCAAAGGGGTTATTTTTTCAAAGCAGATTCATAAATGCCAGTTTTCTTTCTTTAGATATCCATGGCAACCATGGCTGTGTCACTGAGTTAGGCATGTTCTGATATAACACAGCAGACAAACGCTCCGTTTCTCAGTGACCGTATGTGCGTGCGTATGCGTGAAGGTGCAGCAGGAGGCAGTCAGACGTGAATCTGGGCAGCTTGCCTTGGACTTGTCTGTTTCACTGTGCGTTAGCTCATTTTAAGAGCGCTCCAGATAAAGAGACAGATAAACATGCAGACAGGCCAGGATTACACAGCAAAATCCCCTGTGTTGAGTTAACAGTGGTCATTTGTGTCCATCTAGGCTTAAATGGCCACGGTAGGTGTGAATTCAACACTATAGATGTTAATGTAACACAGAGGACTATGCTGCACATTGACACTGAATACAGACAGCTCAGTTCTTACATTCTTAACTTTAAAAATGCATCATTCACTCTTCAGTCAGTGCGGTTGCTTTTGATATTTAGCCAGCAGCAGTTTTCCTTTATATTGATACTAAAGTGATAAAGTTATAGATATTGCTACATAATGGAACACAACGCTGATCTTACACAATATTAAAGGTGCAGTGTGTAGGATTTAGTGGCATCAAGTGGTGAGGTTGCAGATTGCAACCAACTGAATATTCTTTCCTCACCCTTTCCTTCCCAAGGGTGCAGCAGGTTTTCTGCTGTCGCCTGTCCCGCCTCTTCATGTTTTCGCTTCTTTCACTGCAAGGTTTCCCCCCTCTTTTTTGAACTAAATAATAAGTGTGATCCTCCATTTGTCAGAATTTGGGTTCTCAAACTTCTCACAACACAAAATGGTCAGCCAGCACCAGCATCAACCACTGTTTTTTCTTCTTTCCACGTCTTCCAACTGGAGCTACAGCGCTACCAAATTCAAGCTGTAAACCAGCGAAAGGTGCCCTCTAGAGCCAGCGTTTGGTTTTTCCGTTCTGGGCTACTGTATGGCGGTGCAACATGGCGGCGTCTGTTGGAAGAGGACCCGCTGCCTATGTAGATATGAAGGCCTCAATCAAAGCTAACGAAAAAAAAACACAATGATCCGTAGTTACAGGTGATTATATAATAATGAAAACTTGGCTTTGTATACTATATTACATTTCTGCTAATAGATCCCGCTAAATCTTACACACTGCACCTTTAATGCTGCACATAGACAGCATAGACACTATTATCACTACAAACCCAGTCATGGTAGAAGGTCCTGCTGAGGACAAATTAAGCTGTTGCAAATAAGTACAGAATAGACTCACAATGAATAGAATATTTGGGGTCACTTATCGACATTTACGGCCTAAGCTGCTTCTGCTGCTTTTCTCATGTGGCTTCATCAGTTTTCATTTGTCTTTACACTCTCCGTGTATAAAAAATTGCATTGAAATGTGTATCTTCTTGTAAGTGTCAGGGGCCAGATTCACGAAAGCTTTCTTAAGAAAAAACTTGCGAAGGTTCTTAAGACAAACACTAAGTAGTTGTAACACTGTTCTTAAATGCAATCTTTGCAAAAAATCTTAAGTTTTCAGATATTCTAAGCGAATCGTAATGAGTTCTTTTAGATTTTCTTAAGAAAATCTTCTTTGTTCTCTTCATTGTTTTCTGATATCAGCTGTGTTGCATTTTACAGCTTAGCATAAACAAATTTCGAATTTGTATTAACTGTTATTTCCATTATTTAATCTGCTCAGAGGAGCAAAATGGAGGAAATACATCAAACTAAGTGTTAAAAAAATGTAAGCAACCAAGATCTAGAGGTGATGGAGGAAGAAATAGCCAACAGGAAAAAAATCTCTAATAAATAAAATAATTGTGGGGTGACGGTGAAAAGCAAGAGACGAGGATGGGGAGTAGCAGATGCAGCATCCGTGTTTCATAAATTTAGATGCTTGCCTGGTCAACTCTTACAGTCTAAGTGCGATGCTATCATAAGATTAGGAACACATTTAAGAACATATTTTTTATGTTACTCTTAACAGAAAGAGAATTCTTAAGAAGTTTTTTTGAAGAACAGCAATTTTTCATAACCTTTCTCTTAAAAATAAAGTTAAGAAAAATACACATATTTAAGAAGATTTTCTTTTTAAAGACACTTTCGCCCTTGATTCTCTGTCCCCATGGTGATAGGATGTTCACTGAGAAATAAATCAAGCCTTTTGGAAATGTGCAAACGGACATCTGGCCTACTTCAAAATCAGCTGGAACATGAATACAGTAATTTAGTTCATAATTTAATATCATTTCCCCAAAAGATCTCCTCCTTAAATGGATCAGAAGAAAATAAAAGTATTCAGAATGGAAGTTGTATGGTGCATTTTGAAATCCTCTTCAGGACAGCAGGCCTGGCGTGTCCACTTGCCAGTGTCTGATCTCTCCAGAGTGTAGTTTGGTTTTGACCCCAATCACTGCTGGATCTGGACAGAAACACAGATCAGAGTTATGATCCTCCTGAACTAGTAGAGTCAAAAAAGTAAGTTAATCTTGCTTTTGTGGGACAAAACATACATATACAAAGTATGTACCTTTCCAGTGTCCACTAAATGGCCAATGTATTTTACCAACGTTCTCCTCTTTTGATATAAACTGGTCCTAATCTTGGGTAGTGCTTACATAAGCAGTATCCTCACTGTGGCGTGCGCCCGCCCACCGGGCCCCGGTGGCGGCCGTGAGAGCCTGCTGGCCTTGCCGAGGTTCGTCGCCGCTCGGTGTTCGGGCCCCGCCTTCCGCCATTGGGGCCCGTGGGGCGGGTGCATGCCACATACCCGCATCACCCAATGCCACATACCCGCAACACCCAAAGCCGTCGCACACCAAACAACACAAACTCAAACAAACCAAAACCAAGGATACACTGGCCACTTTTCAGTGGCTTCAGACAGACTTTTCAGTCCTACTTCAGTCCTTCTCTTCACTAAGCTTTTCAGCTCTTCAGTCCTCTGTTGCTGCTCGTCCCTCTCTCTCGCTCTGTTTCCGCCGCTTGGTGTTCGGGCCCTGCCTTCCTGCAGGCTCTCGCAGCCACCATCGGGGCCCGGGGGGCGGGCGCATGCCTCACTCACCAATCACAAGGCTGATACGGTTTGCCCTGCCCACACAAGTTCAACAAAACTGTGTTCCCCAACGATCTCTCAGTGTTTGATTCAGAAGAGAGAAGGCTAACTACCAAGCAAAAGCTAACCTAGAAAGCAAAACTGAGCTAGTAAAAATGTCCAGTTGTCCGTTTGTTCGGTCAGTGGGTCACACCACAGCACTACACTTTTAGAAATAAAGGTTCTGTGCAGGTACATTTTTCGTTCATCAAGGTACAAACAATGTAAATGTTCCTTCAAAAGGTACAACACTGGTTTTAAGGTCCAATTGTGTACCTTAAATAAGTTTTTCCAGGTGAAAAGTACATATTTGTACCTTTTTATAACCCACTGTGAGGGTACCACCCCAGTGACAAGAGGGGCTTCGTACATTTTTTCTCCGAGTGTATTGTGTTTAGTTCTGCTTCAGTCACATAGCAGGTTGGGAGTGTTGGACTGAGGGATGTACACCATGCACGCTTATCAGTATATTAAGACCACAGCAATTTTTTAAGCCATCTTTTGGCTTAACACAATGTTAGTATCATACAAACAAAACAAAAAAAAATATGTAAGAATATATTCATAATCTTTCATTTTTATCATACAGGTAATATGTGGTGTTAAAGACCTGATCTGATCACAGAGCCACATTCAAAATGGCAAACTGGCAATAAGGTGTGAATGCAACCAGCACATAAATGTAATAACAAGCTAATAGTTCTATTTCAGCTCAGCAGGATTACACAAGCCAAACAAATAAAACGTTACAATATTCAGTGACCTAATGAGACATTTGATAATAGACCTCTTTGTCCCGATCAATCTATAATTTGTTCTTCACTCCTCATAATGAGGGGAGAGAAAAGAGGGCAACTTGGCCAATAATTTCCAGTTAAACACCAACATAAACAGTCACATTTTAAAATAGTAGTGGAAATAAAAGTAAAATAACACATTTATTTCAAAAGAAAAATAATGGCCTCCTGACACATTCTACTATTTAACTATTTAAATATTTAACTTTTAACAAGGCATGCACAGTAATCAGGATGATATGATGACTGAGATTAAACACTTTACACTCCACGTAACAAGTTCTAAACATTAAAAATATTTTTAGGTTTAAAATGAACGTTCTGGAAAGACATTTGTTCATAGGCATCAACTTATTTAAATTTGTCCTAAAGGTTAAGCACTTAAGCATAAAACTTTAGATCAAAATGTCTTTAAGATTATGAAGAACATACATTCAGATGGGTCTTAACATTTGACTGGCACTACATTAGGAAGCTGGGGCCTTATTACAGAAACTTCTTATCTTTTTATCTCAACTTAAGATCTGACAGGTCAAGATAAGATTTTCCACAAATTCGTCTCACAGAAGCAAATCTGATCTTAATTTAGTAATTTTATCTGAGACATAAACAAAAACTCAATATATTCATATTATTTAGCCAGACAGCTAGCTACCCTTACTAATGTAGCTAAAAAAGGTCAAAAAATATTAAAGCGTGATAAACTTGAAGGTAAGAATATTGTGAAAGTGCCCCCTGCTGTTTATCAGAGAGTCGCCACTCCGCAGTTTCAGTCTACATTTTCCAAACGCTTTAGCCGAGTGTGCCTACACGTTCAGCTCTGTCTCCTCATTATTCAGCACCATCACTGTAATATTTTATCATCAACATTAACACACGAAGGTAATAAGAGGGGACGGTGGAGATTGTGTGTCTGCAGTGTCTGAGATTTTTAAAACACAGTTAGAAAAGTAAAACATCTCATAAGTGAAAGCAGCGTTTTACAGTATAAATAAATGTAGCGTCATTATGCTATTAGTGAACTATGCTGCCTGACACAGCATAAAACAATACAAACAGATGGTTAAACAGAAGTTAAGACTCCTCTTGGGTCATCTTAAAAGTTAGGACAGTATTTAGGAGATTTAGTCTAGTTAGGATGTTTGTGTAATACTGTCTTCTTATCTGGAGTTAATGGATAAGATTATAACCTTAAGAACTGTTATTCTGTAATAGCTACTGTCCTAAATTCAGTCTGTACTGACGTTGTCATGGTGACTAAGCAGATAAGATTTCAGACTAAATAAGTTTCTGTAATTATGCCCCTGATGTCTTTAAATATGTAAGCATGGTTAAAAATACACAATTTGTGTGGTTATGGGTTTAGCGTTAGCGCTGTAGGCTTACTGCTGGTGCGGCTGGTCTTGGTGTAGAGGTCTGTGTCATTCTGGACGCTGGTGGGGGGCAGTCTAACAGCCTGCTCGCACAGCGTGGGCTTCACACCGAAACGCTCTGTCAGGGAAGAGCAGGCAAAATCACCAGTAATTAACATTACCTCCGTAATGGAACAGAAACATCTTGAGTCCTAGAAATCTGATCTGAGATGTAGCTCAAAATATTTTTTTTTTCATTTTCCTATGACTGAGTGCAAACACCACACAGTGGTTAGCTAGTTAGTAAGAGATGCTCACAGTGGAAGCTAATGGGGATCTAAACAAGATGATTCAGACAAACATGTTGTTGTTACAAATGTACAGGGCAGAGTTCACCATTTGTATCTGGAAAGGCCCAGATTACCTTTATTCCAACCATACACCTCAATCAATTGTTTGAAGACTAGATATACAAGAATCAGATGTGCTTCTGCTTGATTATAATGAAAACTTGCAGCCTCCCTGTCCCTTTGTGGATCAGATTAGTGACCCTTGCTGTAGGGCGGTGGCCAAGCCTCTACGGTGTGGAACATGGAGGGCATGTAGGCTGTTTAAATAGACCTACAGTGTTCAGGGAGCAGAGCATGTGGGATGTGTAGGGTACTAAAATGCACAAAGTGCATGTAGAGTGTGCAGGGTCTTAAAAAGCACATAGATCCTGTAGACCGTTTAGGATGTGGAGCATTTAGGATATGGAGCAATCATGGTGTAAGGGATGTTAAAATGCGGATGGTGTGTTCAGGGTGTGGAGTGTTCAGCGTGTGGATGGTGTTAAATTGTGTGTAGTGTTCAAGGTGTGAAGTGTTTAGGGTGTGGAGGGTGTTAAAATGCATGTAGAGCATTCATGGTATGAAATGTTTAGGGTGTGAAGCGTTCAGGGTGTTGGTGTTAAAATGTGTGTAGAGCACTCAGGGTGTGGATGGTGTTACAAGGTATTTAGAGTGTTCAGAGCATAGAACGAGTTAAACTGCATGTAGAAAGTTCAGGCTATGAAGCATGCAGGGTGTGAAATGTTCAGGATGTGGATGGTATTGAAATGTATGTAGAGCGCATAGGGTGTGGATGGTGTAAAAAGATATGTAGAGTGTTCAGGGTGTACAGGGTGTTTAAATGCATTTTGAACGTTCAGGATGTGGAGTGTTCAAGGTGTGGATGGTATTAAAATGTATGTAGAGCATTCAGGGTGTGGATGGTGTTACAAGTCCCGCAAATTTGTTTTAATTATATTTTTTTCACCATGAGCCACACTACAGTTCCCAGCATGCACTGCAACATAGTGTTTGCTTCCACCCCCTCCACAACAACAATCTATAGGCCAGCACCCAGAAAAACAAAATACACCAAGTGTCTAGTTCAAGCGAATGAGCAGCTCTAAAAACCCTACTGTACACTCGGGATGTTTAAAGAGGTCTGAGAGTGATTTGCAGCTAATGTAGTCTATTGCTTTTTATAAAACAATTTTATTAGAACATTTATTAGAGTGTGCAGGGTCTGGAGTATTCTAGGTGTAGAGGATGGTAAAATGCATGTACAGCATTCAGGGTGTCGAGTGTTCAGGGTGTGGAGCGTTCAAGGTGTCGAGTGTTCAGGGTGTGGAGGGTGTTAAAATGCATGTAGAATGTATAGGGTCTGGAGTGTTCAGAGTGTGGAGGGTGTTAAAACGCATGTAGAGCATTCAGGGTGTCGAGTGTTCAGGGTGTGGAGCGTTCAAGGTGTCGAGTGTTCAGGGTGTGGAGGGTGTTAAAATGCATGTAGAATGTATAGGGTCTGGAGTGTTCAGAGTGTAGAGGGTGTTAAAATGCACGCAGAGTGTTCACGGTGTGGAGTGTTCAGGGTTTGGAGTGTTCAGAGTGTAGGGGGTGTTAAAATGCATGTAGCGTGTTCAGGGTGTGCAGTCTTCAGTGTTTGCAGTGTTTAGGGTGCAGAGTGTTCAGGGTATAGAGCGTTCAGGGTGTAAAGTGTACAGTGTGTAGAGTGTTCAGGGTGTGGAGTGTTCAGTGTATAGAGGGTGTTAAAATGCATGTACAGCATTCAGGGTTCGGAGTGTTCAGGATGTGGAGTGTTCGGGGTGTGGAGGGTGTTAAAATGCATGTAGAGCATTCAGGGTGTGGAGTGTTTAAGGTGTGTAGTGTTCAGGGTGTGGAGGGTATTAAGATGCATGTAGAGCGTTCAGGATGTGGAGTGTTCAGAGTGTAGAGTGTGTTAAAATATATGTAGAGTGTTCAGGCTGTGGAGTGTTCATGGTGTAGAGGGTGTTAAAATACATGTAGAGCGTTCAGGTTGTGGAGTGTTCAGGCTGTGGAGTGTTCATGGTGTAGAGAGTGTTAAAATACATATAGAGTGTTCAGAGTGCTAAGTGTGTATGGGAGCTCTGCTGTCTCTCACTGGGATGGCGGCTCCTCTCCTCTTTCCTCTGCTCCACATGACGGTGGATGATGGTCTGGATCTTCTGCTGTTTGGCTGTGATGTTGGGCTCAGCCATCTCTTCACTGAGCCGCAGGTTGTTCTTGATGGCTTTGGAGGCCGTTGCTCGAGCCACTATTGGCAGCTGCTCCTGGTAGCTCCGATCTGTGAAGTCCAGCTCCCCCTCCTGGACTGTTTTGATCCTGCAGGGGGCAGAAGGAAGGGTGGGCAAGCTTATTCAGGTCAGAAGTGCATGATGAAATGAGATAATGATTATTTCACATCCAATGAAACACATATTAGCCATTTTACATTTTACTGTATATTGAGGTGATACAATTTACTACTTTTAGTTCAAGGTACAAAACAAAAATCTGAATTATGAATTTTGACAACATCATTATCATTATCACAATACATGTAACGTAATATAGCATATGTCACATTTCATGCTAAAGGACTGGCCTAACCAAACATGTTAATGTGCCTAACAATGAAAGGGATAAAGTAGGCACCAATTAGCATGATATTATGTGCATAAAGTGAATCCATGGCGGATTGCTTTCATTAATTATTAGCAACGCTACCTTGTTTGAACTACTTTTTTAAATCACATTAAGGTGTAGAGGATGAAATAAATATTTTTATCCATACTGGTATGTGCAGCTCTAATTATTATGAGATAATTTTGCTGCAGCACAAGACGACTGCTAAGCAGACACCAAAAACTATCAAGGTGGTCACACCCACCTTTTGTTGGTCAGTAAGGTGTACATCTCCTGGACTAAAGCTTCTGCTGCTCCAGGTTTGCAGTGGATGGTGCCTTCTATAGCTTCTTTCACCAGGTTGAGGTGCTGCTTCATCAAAACCTTTTAAAAAAAAAACAGTAATTAATAACATATAATTACAAAAGCATCTTATTCTCAGTGAGAGGCATCATTTTAAGGAGTCCCTCTTCAATGAAACTCCTTAGGAGTCTGAAGAACCTCTAAGAAGAACCAAGACTCAAAAGGGAAAACGCCATAAAAGCATGAGGAAAAACCCCTGAGAGGAACCAAGACTCAAAAAGGGAACCTCTGTAAGACCATGAAGAACCACAGAGAGGAACCAAGACTAAAAAGGGGAACCTCGTAAGATCATGAAGACCCAAAAATAAGAACCAAAACTCAAAAGGGGAACCACCACAGTGTGGAACAAAGAATCAAAAGAGGAACCTCTGTAAGACCATGAAGAACCACAGAGAGGAATCAAGATTTAAAAGGGGAACCTCTGTAAGATCATGAAGAACCACAGAGAGGAATCAAGATTTAAAAGGGGAACCTCTGTAAGATCATGAGGACCCACAAATAGGAACAAAGACTCAAAAAGGCAACCTCTGTACGACCATGAAGAACCACAGAGAGGAACTAAGATTCAAAAGGGGAACCTCTGCAAGACCATGAAAAATCACAAAGAGGAGCCAACACACAAAAGGGGAACATCTGTAAGATCATGAAGAACCACAAAGAGGAACCAAGACTCAAAAGGGGAACCTCTGTAAGACCATGAAGAACCACAGAGAGGAACCAAGACTCGACATGAGAAACTGCATGAGAGCATAAGGAAGAACCACTGAATGGAACCCAGATTTAAAAGGAGAAACTCTCTAAGAGCATGAGGAAGAGCCACAGGGAGGAACCTCTAGGCCACATGAGGAAGAACCACTGATAGGAACCCAGATACAAAAAGGGAACCCTCCTCCAGGTCGCACATAAGTAGAATAGCTCCTGGCGGACGATGTGGTAGATCAGTTTATTAGCTGACAGTTTACATGTATGTGTTACTAACCTTCTCTATCTGAGTCCAGTTGGCCTGCTTGGTGGACAGTGATGACCCGTTGTTGTAGGAGTGCATGGGGAAATCTTCTGAGTAGAACCTAGAAAAGATCTCAGCCACAAGGTACCCATTGGAGAAGTCTCTGAAACAAGGGGAAAGTGTCATATTGATGGCTTATATGCTTTTTCATTCATTATTTCATTGTTTTAATAATCTTCTACAAAGTGCAGAACATACACATTTATAAAATCTATACATTGGGACCTACGTGGCTTAGCAATATGGAGAAATGTAATATTTATTTTTATAAGGTTACAATATTTTAGAGCACATTTTATTCCACAGTACAATAAAAAATTTCAATATCAGCCAAAAAAAAAAATCAGATAAACATCAAACATAAGGTTTCTATAGTTCTGTACATACTTCAGTGATAATCAGTAATATTTTCTCCTCTGTAGCCTGCATTGTTCCTGTAGTGCAGTCTTACAGTAATCTGTAATACTTGTGTAGTGTTGTGTAATAAACTACACTAATCAGCCATTACATTAAGTCCACCTCCTTGTCTAGAAGCACATTGTAGCTGTACAGTTACAGACTGTAGTCCATCTGTTTCTCTGCATACTTTGTAACCCTGTTCTTCAGTGCTCAGGACCCCCACAGGACCCCTCAGAGCAGGCATTATTTGAGTGTTGGGTCATTCCAGGCACTGCACTGACACTGACGTGGTGGTGGTGTGTTATGCTGGTGTGAGTGGATCAGACACAGCAGTGCTATTGACGTGTTTAAACATTGTGTCCACTCACTGTCCACTCTGTTAGACACTCCTACCTTGTTGGTCTGTAAAATCAGAGACGATAGCTCATCTGCTGTTTGTGTTGGTCATCCTCTAGTCCCTCATCAGTGGTCTCAGGACGCTGCCCACAGGACACTGTTGGCTGGATGTTTTTGGTTCTCAGTCCAGCAGTGACACTGAGGTGTTTAAAAACTCCAGCAGCACTGCTGTGTCTGATCCACTCACACCAGCACAACACACACTAACACAGCACCACCATGTCAGTGTCACCGCAGTGCTGAGAATGATCCACTGCCCAAATAATACCTGCTCTGTGGTAGTCCTGTGGAGGTCCTGACCATTGAAGAACAGGGTAACAAAGTATGCAGAGAAACAGATGGACTACAGTCTGTAACTGTAGAACTACAAAGTGCTCCTATATGGTCAGTGGAGGTGATAAAATGGACAAAGAGTGTAGAAACAAGGAGTTGGTTTTAACGTTATAGCAAGCTGATTGGTGTAAACAACTGTACAGCTAACAGACTAAATTACTGTAGCTAAAATTCCTGAAATTCCTGTAGATCTTTTAGCTTTGGGAACACAGCAGGCGGGAAAGGCAACTGCTTTACATTGAAAGTGTGACAAATGATCTAATGCATCCGTCTCCCTGCTTTGTTGTCACTGACCTGCGCAAATTCTTCGGAGAAAAGGACAAATCCAGACTTTGCAGCCACTTTAAAACCTCTCTGGGCAGGCCGGTCCTCTTAGGAGGCTGTGAATAAGCCATATCTGAATCTCTGAACCAGCAGGTAAACACACAGATAGGTTAATATTCAGTTAAACTATATTTATCCACAGATTCTAAACCTTAAACCTGCCCGAACTACAGTCAGTTCCTCAGTGTCTTTGTTTACACTTCCATGGAAACGAGAAAGTGAGCTGCTGCCACCTGCTGGTCAATAACTTCATTGCAGTTTAGTTTGATTTATCTTAGTAACATAATTAATAATTAATCTGCTTTCTCAGTGTGGTGGGGTTGATGACGCCCAGTATAAAATGAAAAAAAACCTTTTTTTTTTTTTCAATTCACTGAGGGTAAAGAACATTGAGGGAAAAGCAGGCTTGTTGTAGATTTATAGCTTAAATCCAGAAACTGTCACATGTAATGTATAAATGTAATTTAATTGAATAAAGTAAGCATATGGTTATGACTATTTTTGCTAAGCTATAAGAAATTCAGTTTCAAATAGAACATTTTGAGGGTTTTTTTTTTTCTCTTTTAAAGCAAAACGCAAATGAAGTGAGGGCTGCGACAGAGATGTTTATTGAATTATGCACGGCCAGGAGTAATTGCACTTCACTGAACATAATGTACGGAGCCCCTAAGGTGACATGGAGATTATTTTTCAATAAGGCAAAGGCCACATATTAATATACTTAAGCCACAAGTTACTATTGTGGCCACAAAGTACTATGTTAAGGCCAAAAACTACTATTTTGAGGCCACAAATGAATATTTTGAAGGCACAAAATACTATATTGAGGCCACAAATGAATAATTTGAGGTCATGAATTGATATTTTGAGGCCAGGAATTACTATATTGAGGCCATACTTTACTATTGTGGCCACAAAGTACTATACTGAGGCCAAAAAATACTATATTGAGGCCACAAATACATATGTAGAGTCCACAAATTAATATTTTGAAATCACAATGGGATAGGAAAGGAATTACTATATTGAGGCCACAAATTAATATATTCAAGCCACAAATTAATATATTAAGGCCACATATAAATAACTTGAGGCTACAAATTAATATACTGAAGCCACTATTTACTATATTGAGGCCAGAAATGTGCTTAACTAGTGGCCTCAATATATTAATTTGTGGGCATGCCTTATTAAAAAATAATCACCATGTCACCACAGAAGCTCCAAAAGAATGTACTCAACATATGTTAAATCAATCTAGAAAATACAATTCATGAATATGTTACATATGGAAAAGAAATACATGGACATGTATTTTATACATGTGAAATACATTTCAAACATACTGTTCAATTCCAAAATATACTTAAACACTTAAGAATTTTCAAATGTATCAGATAAGTACAGTTTATATACGCTTCTTTTCCGTATGAGGCATCAGCTTTTCAAATGTTTTGCATAGCTTATCTATCTGTCTTTCCACTGTCACATCAAGGTCACACTGTATCAGTAACTCATCTCAGTTTTTTAAAGAAAAAAACAGTATATAACAGTAATGCATAGCAAGCTGATGCACACAGAGTTGCCAGCTTTTTATCTCCACTATTTTACACTAATTGGCCAGTTTATTAGAAACACCTAACATATAGGTGCACGATGTAGACGTAAAGTTACAGACTTTAGCCCATCTGTTGCTGCAGAGTTTATCAGCCCCCCCCACCTCATTCATCAATGGAGACCACCATAGGACCACTGCTGTCCAGGTGTGATCTAGGAGAATGAATTACCACTCAAATAACATCTTGCAGTCCGATGGTGGTCCCCTTTGATGAATGGTGTGGAAGGGGGCGAAAAAGTGTGCAGTCACAGTCTGTGTTTTTAACTCCACATAGTGGAGCTATTTAGTAGAGGTTTCTGATAAACTGGGCAATCCGTGTAGGTCCAAGGAAGGTGGACATATTAACCTGGACACTCAGTGTACATTGATAATGTTATCTAATGCTATCTGTACTGCAGGAATTTCTTGAGTGCTTTAGGGAGGGGTAGGTGTGGAATGAGGTGGAGTCTGGTTCGACCCAGGCACTCTCTGATTTGCTGACGACAAAGCTGGCCCAGAGAACGGGGCGTGGCTGGAATACAAAACAGGAAAAAAGAGGGAAGATTCAGTAAATAGCCTACGTAATTTGATCAGTGTCCAAGACATATGGTCAGATACATGGAAATTTCGAGAATTGTATGGTCAGATTCTTCAACACTGAACAGAAAATCAGGTCTGTACACTTGTGCAATGAAAAGCTAGCACTATTTTATTTTAGATCAATTTACTGCTAATGTTTTTTTTTTCCAGTTTGGCCAAAAAACATACTGAAGAATCTTAAAATTTACAAAACAAGTATAAAAATCTGTTGTAATGTAATGATGAAAAAATCTGGGATGTCACACATGTAAAAAAGTATTAAAAACATGAAATTTTCTTCTCATGTACTAAGAAGTTTTATTAAGTTTGTGTGTATGACATTAATGAAATGCAGCAGTTTATATAAACTGTATTTCAGCAGGAGAAGTGCCTCACCCTCATATATTAGCAAGAATCCTTCGGTGAGTCCTCCAGGAGGTGCCACTTCCACCGGCCGTTTAAAGCTCAGGTTTCGAGCGTTAACATCGGCACCGAACTCCAGCAACAGCTTCACAATTCCCACGCTGTCCCGCTGAGCCGCCGCGTGCAGAGGAGTCTCCATCAGCCTGCCTCTCTGAACATTCGCTCCTGAGAACAGGCACCGGAAAGATGGTTGTTGCTAGAAAAGCTTTGATCCATCAATGATCTCCAGACAGCCCTTTTACTGAGTAAATTCAGCTTCTTTAAAAGGGAAATTCCCCAATTGTAAAAAATCTGAATAATTAAATGGTTAAGATGTAAATAAAGTAATTCCGAGTGGTTTGGTGTGAAATGCTCCATTCTAGTCAGAGCTGGTTATATTGGTGGTGATAGGAACCAGACATCCATCTCTAAAAGCTCCCTCACAAAATGTTATTACATGAAATGGTTATGAATACACTCCCTGATGACTGAGACATTGTTTCAAGGTTGCAGAAGTGCACACAGAGTGCAACAGTCTCCAAAAAAAAAAAAAAAAATTGGAACCATTTCACACCAAACCACTCTGAATTACTCTGTTTACATCTCACACACTTAATAATGCAGAACGAGACATGAGTCTAAGGTCACCATGTCCAATGGCAAGCTTGGGCTAGAGGGGTATAAAGCCACCCAGCATTGGGCTGTGGAGTGATGGAGCTCCATCCAATACCTTTGGGATGAGCTGGAGTGATCTAGAACTGACCATCCAACATCAGTACCTGACCTCACTAATGCTCAATCAAATCCTCACAGCAGTGTTCCAGTCATCTAGTGTAAAGCCTTCCCAGAATAGTAGAGCCTGTTACTGCAGCAAAGGGGGACAAACTCACTATTAATACCCTTCATATCAAAAGAAACGCTGGAGTCTACAGACTTTTGGACACACAGTGGCACAAAGTTGAGCCAATGGGTGAAGAGCTCATGTTCCTATAGGCTGATCCTCAATTTGGGCTTAAGTTTACAGATAAATCCTGCTTTGTTGTACAACCTCTAGGTTACAGGACCTAGATTTTGTGTTTTCAGTGCAGCAGTTACTCAGTAGTATTTGAGTTGGACTAAGGTAAAAAGTTTCACCTCCGTCCAGCAGCTTGCGAGCGCAGACAAACTCTCTGCATCGGCAGGACGTGTAGAGTGGAGTGCCCATATTGCGGGTTTCATAATCCACATCTGCACCCCATGAGATCAGCACCTCCACACACTGACTGTGGCCTGTGGAGGAGTCACATTCATCAGTAACACACCAGGCAGAAAACAAGCTGAAACTAGCCTTGAAGTTTAGTTTTAGCACTAGAGATACAAGGCTAATGTAGCTAGCCCGTAATCAAACCTTATACCTCAGCAATTAGCATGATGCTAACTGCATGCTTAAAATATTACACACTCACCTCAAACCAGGTGGGGTTGTTCAGTAATCTCTAATAAACTTAATGGTTTCTGACACTGTATGACACATTGTAATCCATAAACATAGACTAACTAAGTTAGCATAGCTAAAAACAGTAGCTGCAGCTTGAAGCCTGAATTTTGCTAACAGTGTGTCATTCAGTGTCAGAAACCACATAACCAGTCTTTTAGAGATACTGAAAGGGAAACTTTGGACAAAACAAAAAATCTACCCATCTCTACATCTTAAATATTTCTACTCATCTTCTGGTGTATCTTGAAGGTGGGAAGAACTTGCAGAAGACTGCAGCTGCTCTGGGATGGATTTTTGGGTGCAGCCTTTTTTAAAATATTATCATTACAGTAGAAAGAATGGATCACTCAGTGACTCATCAGATGAGGAGGACTATAAGCAAACCTTAAATTAGCAAATTAGCTGACTGTCTAGATACCACACCTTTGTTTAGCTTCTTTTCTCTAAAGGTTTAAAAGGTAAGGACTTGTCTCTGGTGTACATTTTGTGCTAAATAAAGAATTTCAGTCTTCTTCATGATTTTGTTCGACCACCAAATATAAAGTCACACTAATGCTAGATGGGTTGCATTAATTAGCCTATAGCAGGGGTCGGCAACATGCTGCTCTTTCACTGTCCTGTTGCAGCTCCTCAGTAGAATTAGATTTTTAGGTAAAATATTATAATCCTCCTTTACAGTAAAATAAAGCTCTGCTGATTGTTCTAACACAGTTTTAACAATAAATGGTCTTAAAGGCTGGAGTTAATGTATAACTGCTAATTCACCCTTTAACCCTGAAGATCAGTGCACAGACTGCTGGTCACACAGCAATGCAGAAAACAGAGGGATTTAAGACGAACATTGATCATTTGGAGACGAATGGACTTATTTGCATTCATAAGCACTCCAGCTGGTTTCCTGTTATGTTTAATCTGCAACGAGAAACTGTCAAACACTAAAAAGTTGCGAGGCTGAAGTCAGCTTCTCATTCGCCAGCTTTTGGTTCGAATATTCCCGTTCCACCTTTAATGGTGCAGCAGTTGCATTCTGGCACTTTAGGCAGCATTTAAGGTGGAACGGGAAAATTCAAACAAGAAGCTGACTTCAGCCTCTTAAAAAGTCGAACTTGAGAGATATTTTACAAGAAACTATTACACTTTTGAGAAAAGGTTTCCTGCTGGAGATGCGAGAAAAGAGGCTATAGCTAAAGCTTAAAGAAGAGCAAAGTGAGCCTGCATTTTTGTTTAAATTATATTTTAAGACTATACTAGAACATTAGCACATACTGAGACATATTTACAGCCAAGATGGTAAAATGGACATAAAATGTTGTGGTTCTCAAGGTGGTTTGATTTCTGTTCAAAGGACAAAATGGCTTTTCTTAACATTTGGGTTGCCAACCTCTGGCCTAAAGCTAGCTCAGAGGCTAGTAGTCAGAATTGGGACACCACAGGGATTTCATATGTTTGTATGATGTATTAAGCGTAATGCATGCTGGGTATTGTAGTGAGAGACAACTGCTAAAACAAAACACGAAAACATGAAAACATGAAAAATACTTGGTAGTTAAACTCAAGTATGGCGCCACCCTAAAGAAGAAAATTTTAGATGCCAATGTCTTGTCTGATCTCTTATGTTTGGGGTAATGGAAATCCAAGGGGGCTAAATCTAATTTTTCATCAAGCTATTCCTTTATTTCGGTGACTACTCTTTAGTCTCCTGTACCTCTGCTGGCTGCTTCGTGGATAGGGGATGGTTGGCATGGGGCCATGGCCTGCGGTCTGGCTCCACATTCCAACAGCAGCTCCAAACACGTCACACTGCCGGTCGAACAGGCGTTAAACAGAGGGGTCACACCGTCAATGGTCGTCACGTTTACCTGAACACAAAAACATGCATCCATATACACAGACTCAGAACCGAGAGAACTCAGAGATCACTGTTAAAAGCAGAAACATAAGAAGAAACAAATGTACAGAAGTGAAAATGTTTCATTTACACCCCGTCCCCCCTGCCATTTACCCCGAAATGTTGTCAATCAGTCAAGACATGTTTGGTGTCTGAAGCTTCTTTATTTCCCCTGCTGAAAAAGGACAATTAGAAACCATTATGATTAAAACCTAATAGGTTTGCTTTCTAATGGGAATTGTTTTCCAGCAGAGACCACTGTAATCCTGTAGAAGACCAATCAAATGCATTTCGAATCAGACATTGGTCACCTGTTAAACCATTAGGACCCCTTAAGCCAAAGCACATTACAAAATCATCAGGAGCTGACAGAAACACTTAATTGTTTCTATGGGTTTTTTCAGCAGGGTTTTTACCTTTAGGTCTGGGGTTATGAGGCTAACATGGCTAATAATGGAAGCTTATGCCCCACCAATTAGCATGGTGCTAACTGCGTGCTAATTGGCTCGCCTTGCCTCACTTGCCTCAAACCATGTGGAGTTTTTGAAGGGGAATTCCATTAATTTTTCAAATTTTCCGCATTATTCAAGCGTTCAGATGTCATTCAGAGTGGTTTGATGATCTAGTGAAACTTACTGAGTCAGAATTGTTCACAGTGGTGGTGATGAAATAGTTATGAATGCACTGCCTGATGTCTGAGACATTGTTTTACAGGAGGTGAGATAAACTTTTGATCCAAAACATATGTTTTCAAACCCATTCATTGTGCAGGGACACATGCTGGATGTTGTGAGGCAAAATGGTCCCCACAGAAAATATACTTTTTCTTGTTTTTACACATAAATCTCTGAAGACACATGTAGGTTCACTGTTGGTTTTGGATAGTAAATAAAATGGCTATATTTGTGTCGTAGTCATGGTGACCCCTGGTTTGTATCACCACCATTGTAAAGAAATCTGAACCATTTCACACTAAACCACTATGAACGAGTTTATGAGTTTGTTGATAGCCTTGATTATGTGCTTTCTGATACTGTAGACACGCTGTTGTTTATCAACATGGACAAACGTACAGAGAAGTACACCAAACGCCCTGGCTGACTGACTACATTTGGGTGACGTTGTTTAACCTTTGACTTTATGCTGAATTATCACTTAATACAATTTATAATCAGTGTATTTTTTTATATATCATACAGTATGTCACAGTAAAGATTTTATAGGCATTGGAAGATGCAGCGTTAAGTTTATATCAGATTATGTGACTTCTAATCAAGGGCTACCAATCAGGCCCTGCAGTCACTAACGTTGGCTCCAGAATCGATGAGCGTTCTTGCACAGGACACATGGTTCCCGATGCAGGCTTCATGGAGAGGACTCACATGGTCTACCGTCAGCGCGTTCACACTGTGGCCCTGAGGGTGGGGAGAGAAGTCATTCCACAAGAACGGTGAACATTTGAACATTTTTAATGTAAAGCAACATTTTTGTCCTACATAGTTTCAATTAAATATTGATATTACTAGGCCAGTGCCTGGAACAGAGTCCTCTTAAACATTTAAACGTTTAATCTGGGCGTTAGTTTTTGAGTTGTGTGAGGTCAGACTGATGTAGGATGTGTTGTGTGAGTTGAGCCTTAATTTTATAATTAAATATATTCTATATTATAAATAATCTTCATTTTGGAAAATAAGAGAACATAATAAATGTTCAGTGAAACTTGCAGTTGTATTATACTCTCATCTTTAATTTGGCCATGAAACTGTAATGAACCGAGTAATAAAGGACAGTCTGAAACCTGACGCTATGGTGTGAGAATCCCAAAACATACACAGTACCATAGAGGTGGCTTTTGGTACAAAATACTGCTGTTTTGCTTTGTTTCACACAAAATAAAGCCACAAATGAACAACATTTTTTCAAACTGCTGGGAAATTAATTTTTACTCTAACTGGAGGCTGTTACCACAGTAACTCGATTAGCTGTCACTGGACAAAGGCCTAGCTCAGATTTTCCCACCTTAGAAAGCACATTTATTTCTCTGTGGCAAATAACACTGAGAAGTACAACCTCGTCAAACTTAAAGTTTATATACTGAAGCTTGAAAAACATTTATTAGCAAATGCTTGTCTCTTAAACACAACATTGACTCTTATGCCACTTTTCTTGGAAAATGCACAGCTGCAGTGCTCATCACTTCCACATGGTGGCAGCAGTGATCTTTCAGACTTACATTACATTTAAAGTTTGGGGACACCTTGTCTTTGTCTATAATGTTTGCTTTTCACTCATTTTTCTGTTAGGTAAGAAAAATGGAGAAGAAGTTTGTCATAAATCAGCTCTGTGTATATTGATTATGCTTTGTGTATATTTATCCTCATGGTTATCAAAGTATCTTCCTCAATATGAAGAGTAAGTTTCGTCTAAATAATGAGTTAACAGTTTTCTTTTCCAAACTAGTGTTAAAAGCACACACTAAAGGGTCACTCACCTGGGCAATGAGAGTCTTCAGGGCCAGAAGCCGTCCCTGGCTTGCAGCATCATGCAGTGGGGAGCGGTCAGCCCACGACCCTAAACGACAACATGAACACAAGGAATACTTTGGTGGGAAAAAACAACCACAATAACGCAGCTCCTCCCCCTTCATACTAAATGTAGTCGGTCAGCCAAGACACGTTTGGTGTCTGAAATTTGTTTTTTTCGGTTTAGTTTAGTGGAGCAACAAAGCCAATGCAGCTAACAAGTAATTTAACACTATTGCAAAATCGAAAGTATGCGAGTTAGTTTAATCCATGTTTATATACACTGAAGAAATGGTTCTTTAAGTTGATGGAGAATGTGTTGTATATTTTTGAAAGTGGTTCTGTATAGCACCAAAAAGGGTTCTTCTACTGTTACAAGCTTGACATCGTAACTTTAGCAGAACACTTTTTGGTGACATATAGAACCATATACAACACATCCTACATCAGTCTGAGGAACGATTTGATCATGCAAAGAACCATTTAAGCATGCAAAAGGTTCTTTATAGAACCCATTGCCTTTACTAAAGAACCCTTGAAGAAGATCTTTTTTGAAGAGTGTATAAACATGGATTAAAACTAAAAGACAGTGTTAATTTACTTGTTACCTGCTTTGGCCTTGTTACTCCATTATACTAAAGCCAAAACCAAACCTTAAACTTCAGACACTAAACATGTCTTGGCTGACCGACTATATTTGGGTTAATCGCTTCAACTAATGTTCTAATTACCCTTAAACTAAAACGTTTGTTGGAAGCAAATAGATGCTGAAGTTCTACATCTGTCAATGAAGTTCAAAACACCTGAGCTGACATTCGATACACACCTGAGTCAATATCCAGAATAACTGCGGATGCGTTCCAAACGTCATCATCATCATCGTGCTCTTCCTCCATCTTTCTCTTTCATTTACACAAATGTGTGCTGTTGACAGAGCACACAGAGCTAGCAGCGCTTCAGCCTAACAGAGCAACACAGCGCAAACTGCCTAATACTGCCTTTAACTGTCTCCACAAGAGCTGAAACGTGGGCAATATTGCACAAAATGTAACATCACAATACTCATTTTCAATATGTATCTTGATATGAAACAGTCATTCCAATAAGGTAGCAAAACAGTAGAGCCACACATAGAGGGGAAAGTCATTCAGAGTGGATTGGTGTGAAATTGTTCATTGTAAAAACTCAGATTTCTTCACAGTGGTGTAATAGGAAGCAGGGGTCAAGGTGACAATGGTAAAATAGTGGAAAATCTGAACAAAATAAGTTTTCACTGGGGACTATTTTGCCTCACAACATCCTGCATGTACCACACCACCATTATAAATATATTTGGGTCCAAAAAATAATGTCTCAGACAGCCGGCAGTGTATTTAAAACCATATCATGTAATAACTTTCTGTGAGGGAGTGGTGGCTCCCATCACCAGCACTGTGAACAATTCTAACTTCTGACTGAATTCAGAAAGTTGTTCTAGGACGAAGCATTTCTCATTAAAGCACTCTGAATGACTTTGTTTACATCACTTTATTTTGCAGAAAATCCAATCAGCTATTTGTTGCTATGCAGTTTATGCAGTTACTGCACACTGTTTGTGGTTGTTTGTGTTGTTGTTGTCATCTATAATTGGTGTAAATCTGTCTTTTTATGATGTGCAAGTGTTCAGCGTTCTAGAAGTGCTGAGAAATCATAAACTCAGAAAAGAGTACTGCAATGAAATTTATCACAATACTGATAAAATATCCTCATATCGCCCACCCGTAGATCAAACAACTGCTTTGTCCTACTTCCAGCCGAAGTAAAAACGAAATTCCAGAGCAGATCCAGCTTACAGATTCTCCTGCTGTGAATACAGCAAGCGTGCAAACCAACACCCGTCCCTACCTCAGTCCTTCTCCCATGAGCACACAAATGTCATGCACTAAAGCCGCATCTATCAAGCATACATGTCTAATTATTTCCTGCAGGAACAAAAAAAAAAAAGCCTCACTGTCCACACACAAAAACATCACACACCAACCTTGGCTGGTTAACCAGCTCAGCAAGACTTCCACTTTGAAAGGAGAATGTTTTCTCTTTACATCATACTCTCGGGGCGGAAAAAAAAAAGAAAAAAAGAGTGTCTGATTCTGTCTGCTGCTTTTATCTACGCCGCTCTACTTAAGTTGACGAGTTAAGAGCCAGCCTTCGTCTCTCCCGCGAGTCTGAAGCCCCTCTCTCCCTAATCTGCAGCTCACTGAAGTTGTCCTTGTTTACCCCAGAGCTCGTCTCATGCTGCTGTAACTAAAAGCCATCACCCCCCCGACACCCCTACCACCCCCTCGCCTTCAGCACCGCCTGCTCAGAGGGGCTTACACTTCTGACCTCACACAGATTCAATTCCATAATGATTCACCATGCTTCAGTTCAACTACAGCTCATCAGGAGATGATTCAAAGCATCGTGACATCTAGATTTCACAATTCAGTCGAATTTCATTATGATTGGTTAGAGTGATTCAGTGCATCAAAAAGTCATAAAATTTGAGATGATTTTGTTTGATTAAATTATGATTATTTACAAAATGATTTAATGAATCATGTAATCTCAATTTTTATCATTATTCTTTTTGATTCAATTATGATTCTTTACAAAATGATTCAATGCATCATGAAATCTGAAGGTCTGCCACATTTTGGTTCAATTTGATTATGATTCATTAGAGGGTGATTCAATGCATCATGAAATCTCAAATTTTCTTACAATTCTATATGATTCAATTACGATTATTTCTTTATTATGATTCAATGTATCACAAAACCTCACATTTTACCATGATTCAATTCAACTCGATTCTGATTTTTTAGGAAAAGATTTGATACATTGTGAAATTTGAAATTTGATTTTAAATTAATTCATTTGCAGTTCAGAAAACAGTTCAAAGCATTGTGAAATTTAAAATTCTACCACAATTCAGTTATGATTCTTGCATAGTATATAAAGAAATTTAAAATGTTCCCACACTTCAAATTGATTTAATTCTGATTTGATTCAGTACATCACGAATTTCCAAAAGTTGACCTTGATTTGGTTTGAATCTTTATAAAATGATACAGTGAGAGTTAATTATGGAATCTCATAAATTTAACCATGATTTAACAATCTTTTCAGGAATAAACAATTCAATACATTTTGAAATCTCACATTTCCCTGCAATTCAGTTCTATTTGATTATGATTCTTTAGGAAGTGATTCAGTCATCCGGAAACCTGATTATTTGATTATTTTGATACGATTCAGATGTATTTTTTAAAAATACATTTAATCGCCAGAAAATTCTATTGTAGCCAAACAATAAACACATATTTAATTGAATATTATTAGAATTTATAACAATTGATTCTCAGTTTCCAGTACAGTTGCGGTTTTGATCCGCTGCTGGTCTGCAGATGAGCCTGTTTGCTGTGTTGGGGATGTGGAGGGGAGGAATCAGATGACATGGCCTCATTTCTATTAATACTCCACTCTGTGCATTAGCCAGCGTTCTGTGCATCGGCAGACTCCCAGCATGCAAGGCTGGACTGAGGTCATGTGATCTGAGCATGCTGTGGTGTCATAAATAACACACAGGACAGATCAGGGAGAGTGCTGGTGAATGCAGGAGTGATGTACAGCTAAGCAGACACTGCCCATCAAAAGTGTGTGGATGTAACTATAAAAGTATATGAAAGTAAAATGTCAATGTTTTAACATAAAACATAAAATAAAGAACATACACACTTTTCCTTTTGGTGGTCCTATGGGTGGTCAAAGATCAGCATAGTTGAGGGCAGTTTCATTAATATGAATTTGAATGATTGTTTTAATAAAATGAAGGTAAAAAGAAATGCATGTAAACTTGACAGACTGGCAAAGAGAAAAACCTTCTGTCTTTTGAGATTCTTATGCACTACTTGCATGAAAATGTATAGAGTAAAAGGTAGGGATGCATGATGATAGCACATTTTGGATTTCGGTATCGGTATCTACAGATACAAAAAAGAAGCTGCAGTGCACAGATGTTTAGATTTGATGTATATTTTGAACTGGTATTGGTTGATGTATTTATTGAGCTCCAGAAGAGCAGAATGTTTTGGTGACTCTCAGAAAAATATCTGCATTTTTTATTTTACTGCATTTGTAACCCAAAAATAAATGATATATTTCTCTGTAATGTTAATCTAGATTTAGTCCTAAGTTCTACATTTTATGCATGTTTATTTATCCGTAATAGCAAATATATACATGAACAATATCAGATATCTACGGAGCCCTGCTAGGCACATCTCGTATAAATAAAAATAATGCGTGGCCACGACTTACTAAGGTGTGGGAACAAGATCCTAATGTGTGGCCACGACTTAGAAAGGTGTGAGAACGAGATCCTAATCTGTGGCCACGATTTAGTAAGGGGTAGGAGCGAGATAATAAAGTCGTGGCCACAGCTTAGTAAGGCATGGGAACAAGATCATGCCTTGTTAAAGCTGTGGTCAAGGCTTAGTTATCTCATTCCCTTGCCTTACTAAGTCATGGCCACACATAATTTTTATTTATAAAGGATGTCATCAGATATCCATTTTGGTGCGTCCTTAGAAAACAATTTTAGTTTTTAAAAGAGAAGCACTGATGCTGATGCTGGTACATAAACATTTTGGTATCACTGTGCATGTCTAGTTTTTTCTTTATTGAGTAAACAGACAAAGTATTCCATTTAAATAATACTCGAGTGAAGTACAAACCTTCCAAATTGACACTTAAAGCACTAACAGTATAACAGTATACTTACAGTTCACTCTTAAAAAGAAGGTTTTTTAAGGGTTCTTTAGGAAAGACAGTGGTCCTATATAGAATCATAAACACTCAAAAAACCATTGGCATAATTAAAACAATTATTAACAAATTATTAAACAAATAGATGCAGTAAGTTAATGTGGGAGACCTTTTCCCTTTTAATTTCTTTAAATGTTAAAGTTTTGTGTGTAAATTTGCAGACAGTCTTTTACAGAAAGAAGAGTCAGTATTTTTTCACTCAGCATTGACGGCTTCAAACAGCTGAAAAACACTGCTGAGCGGGTTTAATATGAGACCAAATATTTTATAGGGTTTAAATCTGGACTCTGACCAGCCAAAACCATCAGTGAACACCATTATATTTTGGGTCTGGCCCAATTTTGTGCCCAGGAGTGTGTGTATATATATATAAAGCACATTTTCCATCAGTCTGAAGAACCATTCATCATATAGAGAATTATTTAATCATGCAAACGATTTTGAGTGTTCACAGTTCTATTAAGAACTAATATCTTCACTTAAGAACCCTTGAAGAACCATCATTTTTAAGAGTGTATATTAACAGTAGTATTTTTCCTGTTCTTTATATACTGACAGTGAGGTCCAGAAGTCTAACAATACTGGTGAAAATGCTTCTATTTAGCATTCCTTTCTAATTTAATACAAAGTTTTTTAATTAGAAATAACAGTCTATGTGAAAAGTACAATCTCTGAAATTTTAACATGAATTTCAGAATTTCTTAGCATTTGGTGGTGTGTCCTCCTTTTACTTTAATGACAACATATGGACTCCACAAGTTTTTGTAAAAGTCTCTGAACAGCAGATCAAGTCCTCCTGAGAGTCGTCTGATCATGAGCTGCACTGAAAGAGACCAGACTGAAAACAGTCTGACCTTTTAGTACAAAGACCACAGCACAAATTTCCTTGAATTTGAGGAGTGAGCTAGAAATCTTAAATGTTTCCTCTTCATTTTCTATATAATAACTTTTTAAAATTCTAAACCTGTCTGTTTGAGATCAGTCAATGTGGAGCCCACTGTATCTAAATTATGGACTGTCTGTAAACAACATGTGACACATAACTGGACTAAAAAGAACTGGCAGTGCAAAGAGGAGTTTCTATTTCCATCAGTTCCAAATGCATGAATTGTTTTCCTCGTGTTTGTAACTCACAGTGAAAGGGTAAACAAGGTAAATACCCCACCCGCAGCCCCTCTGTGCTGGGCTGTGACGTGAGTGGTCTTTCTTACCGTGCCCTTGGCCGTAAAACTCGGCCGATATCCGGGCCGCTTCCCTGCGGTTCCCTTTGATGATGTAGAAATGTGTGAGCAGGTTGAGGGTGATCCTGATGAAGAGTTTGCAGCAGAACAGAGCGAGGATAGTGAGGTACACATTGGACAGCTGAGCCGCAAATGGCCTGTACTCCTCTGAGCTCTCCGACATGGCTGAGTGTGAAGAACTCCGGTGCACAGTGGTGGGTTCTGCTGCTGGCTGACCAACAGTGCCCCCAAAGCGCAAGGGCAGTCACTGCAATCTCAGACAGCACTAGAAGACAGAAAAAAACATTGTAAATGAATGAAAAGTATGGAAAACAAAGCAATTCTACAGTTTCATGCATTATTTATGAGATGACTATCTTACATCTATAATGGCTGAAGGAGATATTTCTGATGAGATTAGATATAGGATAATCCACTTGCATAAGGTGAAATTTTATGGAAAACATAGGAGCTTCCAAAATTGGAGTTTTGGAATTATTACAATTATTAAAAACTGATTAAAAGCTACAGAGAAAATGAGACTCCTAACAACCACCTGGAAGACCTGGTAGACACTAAAACTGCCCCCATCAGATAAACAGCACTTAAAGCTTCAACTTTGAGAGAGAGGAGAAAATCAAGCTGCTTCAGATCTGAAAACATCCACAGGTGTTTCTGTCTATCCTTCCACTGTGATAAGACAACTCAGCGCTGTGGGTCTGAAAGGATGTGTAGCTGTCAAGAAGCCTCACTAAGGAAAGGAGACACATCAAACAAAGAAGCTGAACAATAGACTGAACACCCAGAGTCCAGACCTCAACATCACTGAATGTGTTTGATTACTTCAGAAAATGATCAACCAACTTCTAAGACTGAACTTTGGAGGTGTGTCTGCAGATTTGTTTGAGAAACTGAAAATGAGTCTCCTGAAAAGAATGGAAGCTGTAATAAAGGTAAAGAGTGACACACTTAACACTCAAACATCTGATATTAGATTTAGTTCTGGATGATTCTGCCAAATTTTCTGCTAAATGCATATTTTCTGCTTTTTTACTGATATTGAAAAATTAACATGGCTATTATCACTGGAAATCAAATTAATGACTGGCCTTTTGCACATTCATGTATATAAAACATTGAGTCTGTTTTAGCTTTAAATATGTATACATGCGTTTATTCGTTTATTTGTCAATTTATTTAATCTGCATTGCTGCAAAATTAAAAGTTAAATACTTTAGGCTTTGTTTTCTAAAGAAAACACTGTACTATACCTGTATTTTCTTTATTGATGTATATAATTGTTATCCAATTGATTTAATTAATTATTTTCATTTGCATGTATTTAATTGCTTTTCATATTGTTCTATAATTAATAGTCTAAAATAGAATAACAATCATTAGAGAAGTCTTACAGAAAGTCAGCAGGGGGCAGCATTGCATTACTGTGATAAGGTTAATCCAAGGATGCTGGTAACAACATTTAGAAAGGTAGAAAGCCCCCCAGCACTTGGCTGTGGAGCAGTGGGGCCGTGTTCTCTGGAGTGATGGAGCTCCATCTAATACCTTTGGGATGAGTTGGAGTGATCCAGAACTGATCATCCAACATCAGTACCTGACCTCACCAATGCTCAATCAAATCCTCACAGCAATGTTGCAACATCTAGTGTAAAGCCTTCCCAGAAGAGTAGAGGCTGTTACTGCAACACAGGAGGACAAACTCAATATTAATAGCCTTCATTTCAGAAGAAACGCTGGAGTCTACAGACTTTTGTAGTGTAGACAGATAGATTTTTTTTCTGCTAAACACATATTTCTGCTTTTTTTCCTGATGTTAAAAAATGAATAACTTTGACTGGAAATTAAATAGAAAAGGGGGTCTCTGACATTTGCACAGTACTGTATATATTTAGGTGTTTATTAGCCCGCTTACTTAATTATTAATTTACTTAAATATGTCATTTTTGCAAATGACAGCCAAACAGATAGATAGACAGAGACGGATACACAGACAGACAGACAGACAGACAGCTACATAGACAAACACACAGCTACATAAATACACAGAATAATAACAGAGACACACAACAGAGACAGACTGGTAGACAGACAGATCCTCTCCACTTACCAAGCCATCAAACGTCACTAAACCAGAAAGTAAACACACCCTCTCCTCTCCACGTGATCATGTCTGGAAACTGACGTCCCTAAGCTCAGGCCGCGCGTGCGCAGTGAACGCAAGCAGCGATGGTGGAAGGACCCGGATGCACCCTGAACGGAGAGAGAATCCGCGCGAAAGTCCAAAAAGGACAGAAGGTGGTAAAAGTGAGCGGCGCTTCTGCAGCTGTGAGTGTCTGAGACTGAGCAGCGGTGCTCTGCTTTAATCTCTCTACTGCAGGAACCGGCAGGAGAACGTTCTCCTCTGCTCTGGTTCCTGCTTGAATCTGTATCACGAAGCTGAGGTCAGTTTTCTGTTCGCCAGCTGCTAGTTTGAATTTCCCGTGGCGGCAGAATGTAACAGCTGCACCTTTTAAGGTGGAACGGGAGAACTCGAGCAAGGAGCTGGCGAGTAGGAAGCCAACCAAAGCCTCCTGTCTGTGTCTGTATCTGCTCACTCAGTGTAAGAAGACATGTGCTGTTGTGTTATATGTGCTGGAACTGTAAATGCTCATTAACCTGGTCTAGCTCAGGTGTGCTGCTACCTTCAAAACGTCAATGTCAAAATGTTCAAATGTCCCGCTGTAGCGCTTATTTGTAGGTGGTTCTCTGTATAAAACTGCAGATAGGAAACTTCGTCTAAATCACCTTATCAAAAATGCTACCAGCATTGAAATGTATATTTTAAAGGCCTAATTCAGCTTATCGGGAGGTATGTAGCGATATTCAGTTGAGTCTGTAACAGGCTTGAGGTAAGGCTGAATTAACATTAAGTAGACATGTCAGGGCAAACACCGCTCCTTCACATCTTGCATGCACAGATTGCCCCTCCCCCCCCATCCAGAGTCAGAGGTCACTGCCAGAGTCCTTTCAGGGAGGTGAAGATTATCCAGGTAGCTTATATGGTGGTGTGTTATAATTAAGTGAATGATGGAAATAATGGAAACAGACTGTTTTCCAAACGGCATACTACACACTTCCATGCTTTTTCATGCTTAAATGTTTCTTTGCATGATGAGTGGATCAGACACAGCAGTGCTGCTGGAGGTTTTAAACACTATGTCCACTCTGTTAGACACTACCTTGTCAGTCCACCTTGTAGATGTAAAGTCAGAGACGATAGCTCATCTGCTGCTGCACAGTTTGTGTTGGTCATTCTCTAGTCCTTCATCAGTGGTCACAGGACACTGTTGGCTGGATGTTTTTGGTTGGTGGACTATTCTCAGTCCAATAGTGACACAGGTTGGAAAAAGTAGCCGGATGTGAAATGTTTGGCCTAAAAAAGTAAATAAGCATCACAGTAGAGATGTTTTCATTTGCATGTATTAAGACAAACTTTGTTTTAAATCTCATTGCAGAGAAATGATGGCGTTGGTCCCTCTGTGCAGTGCATCACTGGATGCACGTACACCGGAGTGCAGACGCTGGGCAAAGAGCTGTTCATGTATTTTGGCCCCAGAGCTTTAAGGCAAGTCACTATTCCGTGGTTCTTTAAAGGGTCCATACATTTTAATAAGAAACTACTCACATATGGAAAAAGCAGCACATTTTGATTTAACTGTTTTAACAGTGTCACAAAAGCTGTGTGTGTGTGTGTATATATATATGTGTGTATATATATATGTGTGTGTGTGTATATATATATATATATATATATATATGTATATATATATATATATATATATGTATGTATCTATGTATATATATGTATGTGTATATATATATGTATGTATATATATATATATATATATATATATATATATGTATGTATGTGTGTATATATATGTATAAACAGTAAATATGTACACATCCTCTACAGAGAACACACTTCTTCCACAATTACTGTTTATTTGCTGATATATTTTGTTTGCAAAATTGGAAATAAAATGTAAAATGTGCGCAACCGTTTAAGCGTTTGGCCTTATAGCCCTATCATCAGGAGATTGCGAGTTCGATTCTTGGTGATGCTACAGCTATCTGTGGCCAGGAGTCCAAGAGAGCACAATTGCCCCCCGCCACCCCCCCAGTGCCCCCCATCACTCAGTGTGATGCTAGCCAGCGCAGGCGTCTGTTAGTTGATGTAACTGACGGTTAGCGTTCTTCTCCGAGCGTGTTCACCTGTCCAACGACGTGGTGTTAGCAGTAGTTTGAAAAGATACAGTGGTGCTTCACTGGTGGTATGGTGTGATTGGGGGAGTCCTAACTAGTGGGTGGGTGAAATTGGAAATGTCTAAATTGAAAAAAAAAAAAAATGTTGAAATTCTGCACCGACAAAAAGCCTTTACTGTTAAACTCCTTGGAGCAGAAAGCAGAAAAAATGTCATATTTAAGTTCTCTGTAGTGGATGCGTTAACTTATTTTCACTTAGAAAATCAACAAAGCATGTAATTTGACCCAAGGATGTTCAAACTTTTGTAAACGACTTTATTGCCCTTACTTACCCAAACCTCTCCTTAAAACTGTACTCTGTTTTTTAATGTCATGATGCAAGTATAACCCAAAGTGACAATGTAATATTTAATATGTAATATTTAATATTCATATTATTTGTTTTGTGTAACATTTGTTTTAAATAGTGTGATATGTATGGTGGATTTGCTATGCTGTTCATGTTTTTAAATATTGCTCTGATAGAAATAAGCCACTGGGCTGAATCTGATACATAATAAAATAATGATATTAGTGTGTATTGTGCTTTTTATATAAATAAAGTAATAAAGTAGCTTGACTATCTTCCCAGAGTGATCCTTCTGATCCACAGCTATGTCATCTACACTTTGAGAATGATAGTGGCATTAAACTTTAATAATGAAGCAGATTGGCCTCACTTAAAACCCTTTTGATTTCTCATGATTTCATTGCGTGCTCTGCTTATAAATCAAACCAATGAAAGTGAGAGCCAAAATGTTTTGGATGTTTCAGATGATATAGGTGGCAGTAAATATGGGACTGTAATTGAGTTTCAGTGCCATCTAATTATGATCACACTTTCAGATACAGACAGTATAAACCTGAGCTGTAATTCTGGAGAGATAATATGAATCGGGGACAAAGAGATCTTTTACCGGGAATTGTTTCATAAATTAGCGTACTAATGTTAGCCCTCTGGTTAAAAGAGAGCTTAATTACAGGCCTGCTTTAGCATAAGGCTCGACACCATTCCTAGAGTACTCCAGCGTTTTTCAACCGGATATCTATTTACAGCAGATATTAGGTTGGAAATCGCTGCAGTTTTTCCTGTAAATGTGCAGAATATTACAAAAGAATATTTCATTTCTTAATTGGAGTGTTTCTCTGGGACAGGCTGCACTTTGGCATGAACGGGTCGATGCGAATAAACCTGGCTGAAATGCGGGATGGCAGAGGACATTCTCCCACCTTTCTCATCCACCTGACCAAAGACACAATCTGCTTCTTTGACTCCACTGTGGAAATCCGGTAGGAATTCCTCATTTTGCTTCAATGTGAAGTAAATAGGATCAGACTGACAGGTATTTAGGCTACTAGCTGACATTTTTATGGGAGAATGTAGTAGTTAGAAGCTCAAAACCAACAAACCAATATCAAAATAAATTCACAAATCATTCTTAAGAAAAAAATTCTTCTTAAAACCCACCTATGCAGTTTTCGTGATGATTCTGACATTCACCAATGTTTTCTTATTTGGGAATTTTGGTACGTGGCACTTCAGAATAAGACTACCCCTATAAAGGGTTTCTAAATGCTTTAATATGACTTTATTAATGGTTATTAATAGGCCATAAACACCTTTAGAATCATTAATAATCAGTTACAATACACAAATAAAAAAGGCACCACTGACCTGTTATTTACCTATTAGTGAACCCGCAATCATTTACATACACACTTAAGAACGATGGTTCTTTAAGGGTTGTTTAGTAAAGGACATGGCTCTATATAGAAACCCCTTTGCATGTTTAAAGGATTTTTTCATCATGAAAGATTGATGGAGAATGTGTTGTGGACGTTTGTGGATGTCTTTTTGAAAAGGTCAACAAAAAGGGTTCTTCTTTTGTAACAAGCCTGACATTGTAACAATAGAAGAACCACTTTTGGTGCTACATAGAAACCTTTTCAAAAAGGTTCTATATAGAACCATCTACAGGACATTCTTCATCAACATGAAGAACCATTATACCATGCAAAGAACCCTTTAATCATGCAAAGGGTTCTTTGAGTGTTCTTGGTCCTATATAGAACCATTTTCTTTACTTGAAGAGCCATCATTTTTAAGTGTGTAGTTAAACTGCAGATCTTGCTGTCTGCTTATCTTGCTTTGTCTTCACCATTAGTCAGCATTAAACCCGTCAACCTCATCAGATATTCACGTTCAGCTCACTTTTACCCTTAATAATGTGTTATAATTGTTCATAAATGGTTTTTAAGCTGTTTATGACCTAATTAATAACCATTAAACCATTAATTTTAAACCATTCATAAACTGCTTTAAAAAGTAGCCTTATTTTAAAGTGTTCTACGGTTGAAGAACACGTCATGAATCTGACGTAGACTTTTTCTTAGGACCTTTCTCAGGAACACACTGATTTTGTTTTTTTTTTTAACTAATATTGCAACTGCGATTATTTGCTACAAATTAAGGTTAAGGCCTGAACATAGTTTCTCCTGTAAGGGCACTTTGTTATTTATATATATCTTTTTATTTTGATTGAATGATTGATTTGATTTGATTGATTATTCTTCTCTTATAATTTAAATTATGTTTGTCTTTCATCATTTGAAAAGCACTTAGAATGACTGCAGCGCAAGGTGCTATATAAATAAACTTGCCTTGCCTTGCCTTGCCTGGTGCGGCAAACTACCAGTGAGTTGTAGTTGTGATGTCACAACACGCAGAGGTTTGGTTACCTCTGATTGGTCCAACTTATCCACAGGCAGTTCTCAAGCTTTGTGCTATTATGTTAATTACCTCGCTTAAAACTTAAGACAGTGTTTTTGATATTGTAGGCTATAATTAAAAAAATTACAGCTCTTGTGATTTGAAAATTGCACTCACTTAAATTGCGATTTCGATATAAAAACAATTAATCTTTCAGCCCTAGCAGTACATATAAATATCATTAGCATGATTTAAAGCTATTTGGATGCCAGAAGAAGATGAGACCATTCTAATCAGAAAAATATGATGCTAACCACTGATCTGATGAAGCGTACAGTCAGTTAGATAAAGACTGAACTAATTTAGCTTTAAATCAAAACAAACGCGAAGCCTTGGCTGTGGACAAAAAGTAAAACAACTTGCAAAGTGTGGTATATGCTGCTCAACAATAGGACGTCTCCACATTGTGACAAAAAGATGTTTTGTTTCACTGTTGACACTGTTACTCGTGTGTATGACTGGATGACTAATCCATTGGACAACATGCAGTTCCTTTTATAATGTATTTAAAGCTGTGCGTGTAAATAAAGAATGAGGTTTTGTGTGCGTCTGTCGCGCAGGCTGTCTGAGGACTGTGAAGAGAAGGTTCGAGTCAAGGCAAGTTTGGACGTTTGTTCTCCAATCTTCAGCGTGTCCCGTGCAGTGGAGGCGGTGTGTATGGAGAGTGGTCGAATGTTGTGTGACGTCCTGCTGGATCAGGCTGTCCTGCCCGGTGTTGGGAACATCATCAAAAACGAAGCGCTCTTCAACAGCGGCCTCAACCCTGCTGTCAAGGTGACCGTCACTGCGAGGAGCACAGTCACTCCTGGCTCTATGTTAATGTACATGAGCCCAGCCTTAAATAACAGATGTTGTTTGGACTACACTTGTAGTCCAAAAGTCAAAATCAAATTCACACAGATTTACACAAACATCCCCCTCTACTCCAAATGTAATTGATCAGCCAGAACGCGTATTGTCTAAAGATTACTTCTGGTTTTGCGCAAGAGCTGTGAGGATAATGTAGCCAATGGTAGCTTATACCATTATCATATTGTATCACTTAGCATGGTGATAACTGCATGCTTAAATCATTACACTCACCTCAAACCGTCCTCGTGGTTTTTGACAGATGGCCGCTACTGCTTTTAGCTGCGCTAATGTAATTTAGTCCATGTGTATAGATAACAATGAGTCATACAGTGTCAGAAACCACATAATTAAGTCTATTAGAGATACTGAACAACTCCGCACGGTTTAAGGCAACAGTGTGGTAATTAGGTATGCAGTTAGCACCATGCTAATTGGTGGGGTATAAGCTTCCATCACTTTTTAGCTACATTATCCTTGTAGCTTCACTGCTAAAACTAAAGAAGCAAACTTCAGACACGTCTCAGCTGATCAACTACATTTGGGTTAAAAGTGGAAACCAAATTAGATGTTTTGATTGATTTTCCTTGTGAGTGTGTAAATTCTTGTCTCTTTTGCAGGTGAATCAGCTGACGAATGAGCAGGTCAAGCATTTGGTGAAAATGACGCGAGACTTCACCATACTCTTTTATCAGGTACTGGGGCAATACTGGAGCACTAAAGAGAACGAGAGTTTAGTGTTTTCTCTGCGCCAACTCAACTATTTGGACTTATTAAAGGAACAGTTTGGTGAGAAGTCATATTTGTACAGTATTGCCACTTATCCCACATGCAGTCAGTCAGCCAAGACATGTTTGGTGTCTGAAGTTTGCTTCTGTAGTTTTGCACTGGAGCTCCAATGCTAATAAATAATACATTATACTAGCAGTACAAAACTAAAGACGCAAACTTCAAAGACCAAACATATCTATGTACGAGGTAAAACGGGTGGAGGGGTAATTTTGTACATTTGAATCATTCCTTTAAAGACCAATCCCATTTCACCCTTTGCCCCTACCACTTAGCCTTTAACCCTCCATTTTTCATGTTCATGCCTAGGGGTAAGGTGTCCCAATGTTTTTTTTTGAGATGGAGGGGTAGAGCAAATGGTTAGGGCTACGTGGCCTTCCAAATGGAGGTTTTTCAGAGGTAAACTCCAAATGGAGTGTTATGAGAAAAAAAGAAAAACCGGAAAGATCGCTGCGCAAGTGAGCAAAGAAACCCACAAATGTGAGTATTTTCTCAGTTGAAAAAATACAATAATCAACTTTAGTTTAATGTCTCTTCAATGTATTATGGTCCTTTTCTTTATAACAAGCATAAAAAATCTCTTGTAGTATGCTAACGTCTCAGTAGCTAGCTATCTAAATGTCCTGTTCCACCTTAAATGGTCCAGCAGTTTCATTCTGGTGCCTCAGGTGTCAAATGCTGCACCATTTACGGTGGAATGAGAAAATTCAAATGAGAAACTGGTGAAAAGCTGACTTCAGCTTCATATGACCAAAGAATTAGGGGTGGGTGATAATGAATAATTATCGTATCCCCCCTCTTTGAAAGCATATGATTCTCAAATTTAACTAAAGCCCAGCAGTCAGGTTGCTGAACTCCTCTGCAGTCACTGCAGACTGGCAGGGTTGCCTACAGAGCACTGCTAGTAGCTTGTAAATGAAGTAATGTTCTTTTTCATTTGAGGGTTGTTCCGTTTTGTAGAGGAAGATTTCAACCACCTTGTAACCACCTTGTTGACACTCGAAAACAAGGGGTAGGGGTAAAAATAAGGAATGGGATTTGGCCTAAGTTAGTTTATTTAAAGCAGTGGCTCCAAAACCTGGTCGTCTTAGGCAAGTTAATTTATTAGGCAATTTTATTAGCTCTACCCCACACCTAGTCTCACTAATCAGCTCATTAATAAGCCCTTCCTGAGATGAAAGGCGTGTAGGGCAGGATATGAGCTACTCAAGGGCCAGAGTTGGTGATTTAGAGCAAAGCAGCATCACGTGTAAATATTTGTGCCAATATTAGTGACAGTGCTAGCTTGGTAGTAAAGCCAAGCCCCACCCATTTAATCCCCTTGTTGTGATATCATCACTCAAACCTATCAGGTGTTTGAGTTTCAATATGTGCTTTTAACAGTAGTTAACAATACTTGTTTGATTGCATTTCTAGCTATTAATTTTAATTTTCAAATTCAAATTACAAGGCCAAATTTTTGATTGGCATGTGTGATGTTTTTTTCTCTGTGTCTCTGATCCGGTCAGTGCCGTAAGAGGGGCTCTTCACTGAATCAGCACTATAAAGTGTACAGACGCTCCAACTGTGGTCAGTGCAGTGGAACGATCACCTTATGTCGCCTCGGAGACAACAACAGGATGACGTATTTCTGCCAGCGTTGTCAGACTGAAGATCCAACTGAGCTCGACATCAGGTCAGATGCACTCTTACATTTTTGAACACATTTAAATGACACCTAAACAACTGATATGATTTGTTACTCTGAGGTCAGAATCAGAATTTTCAGTATTTTATGTGTTTTAATTCTACAGAGCTCTAGTAATATTGGACAAAAATCATGATCTGAGCACCCCTACTGTAGATCTTTTTATTTATTTATTTATATTGTCACCTGCACCAACACAAACTTCTTGTACATTCCGAAATAAGCACACTACATCAGTGTTTACGTTCTTCTCTCCCCCCTTTTATGCTGGAACAGTAAGCTGCCCAGTATGAACACTTTGCTGGAATGGACGAGTCAGGAAGACGAGAGCAGCAGTGATCACGTTGCCACGAGGGAGGAGGAAGAGTGGACATGTGACCTTTGCACTTTGATTAACCGACCAGTCAGCAAATCCTGTGAGGCCTGTCTGAGCCCTCGGCCTGAGAGTGAGTTGATATTATCGAATATCGCGGTCATTTAAATGAGTGCCGATATAATGCAAGCGATGTTTTTTTGTTCTTTTACAGGCTATGATTTTTCAGGATAGTTTTTTGCTTCTTCTCTAATTTTGAACAATCATTCTAATATATAGTTAATTTAAAAATGTATGTAATAAAAATATAGCTCTAAAGTATTGGTCATACAAACAGACCATCACCAACTAATCAAGCACACACATACAAACTCTTAACGACTGTCGCGATAACTGTGCGGTTGAATGGGCCTCATTCACTACTGTCTTCCGACGTATCTTCTTAAACCGCAGAATTGTTCACACCTTTGTGCTCTTGAGTGTGTAGATTCTGTTCTTACCTAAGAATAAATCTCAAATAAGAAAACACTGAATGTCAGAATCTTTGTGAAAACTGTATATGTGGGAAAAATTCTTATTAAGAATTGGTGAATGAGGTCCAATGATTATATCGTCTCTGTAAAAAAATAAAAATAAAAAGTATCTCCATTTTTTTGCAATTTTAGTTTCAGAAATGCTTCAAAATTGCTTGGAATAAAATCTTTTTACCGTAACTTAAAACTTAAAAGTTAAGAACATTTTTGCTCTCTCCTGTAAAGTTACCATTTTGAAGATACTTGTTTTTCTTTGAACCCCATTGATATATGGATCATGGAGCATTATAGAGCGCTTTTTTTAAATGAAACAATAGAAGCCATATTGCCCCCTACACTTCTTGTAGTGTATTACAGTCTGTCAGAATGACTGTGTGGATCATATGAACATTATAGAGCACCTGGAATATATTATAAGGGGATTTTGGACTTTTTTCTGTAATCTGGAATAGACTTTGTTGACCAGTGGTTGTAGTATAATTACCAGGTTTAGTGTTAACAGACATGTTTGAGCATTTAGCAGGAAAATCACCAAACTGTGCTGGACACAAACTGGACACCCCTGCTTTAACAGAACCACAAATTTGACAGACACTCTACTTTCCCTCCCTCTCATTTAGTTTCTAGAGATGCAGCACAGCGGCCACAGTTGCCCAGCGCTCTGATCCGCTACCCCTGCAACAGCTTCTCCAGCCCCCAGCCAGACCTGAAACTGAACCGCAGGGCTGCTTTCGGACACACCACTCTGATCCTGACCGACCTCAACCGAAAACCTGCTGCAGCTCTGAAGAATCCTCCGGCAGGGACCCAGCTTGAGCTCCAGAACAGCAGACGCAGTGCTGGGATTGGGACGCAGCCTATACAAACCTCTCCTGGATCTCCCAGCCAGCCCAGCAAGAGAAGAAAAACAGAAGGAGGACACCTTCCTGGAGGAGACAACCAGCGTTCCTCAGGGTAAAAATAATTTAACATTGACATTCAGTGCCCAGTATTCACAAAGAATTCTAGTCAGACTCTGAAACTAACATGTTTTCTCTGCCTGACTCTTCTGAAATCCAGAGTTGTTAGGCTTGAGCCGACTACCAAAAGTATCAAGAATTGCCGGAATTCAACAGGGATGGCCATCAAATTTGTTTATTTGTCAGAAAACACATTGTTTGCTGCGTTATGATGCACAAAAAAAACCCTTTTTTAATGTGTAACTCATGTTGTATATCAGACCTGATATTTTGGAAGGCTTCAGAACATTTAGCAGCGTGAGGCTTTTTTTTTTTTTATTATTATTATTTTGTCACGCTCATTAAAGTGAAGAAGCCGTGCTGCAGCCTTACACACAGAATGCCTTCTCTCACAAAATTTGAACAAGGGCACGACTGACTGACACTATGGGTCCATCAAATTTGTTAAAAACTAAATGTTTAATAAAGCTCAGCAGAATAACAGTAGCAGGCTACCGTAACACATTATGCTCTAACCACTCTAGCAAGAGTCTTGATGGACTGCAAAAGTGTGATTTTACCAAACCAGGTTTGCAAGCTTCTGACCAGAAACACAAGCTTGTTTTTCTTGATTTAAGCAGCTTCTCTGTGATATTGAAACAGGTTCTTGGAGGGCACTATGACAATATTTATCATTATTGTGGTAAGTTACATCACAATATGCTTTCCTGAGCATATTGTGGATATTGTCAGTCCTTAAAAACACTGCCCAACTTCCCAAAGAGCATAATTAGTGCTGCTTCATTGGATTTAGTGCAGCACTTTTTTGGCCCCACTTCCTACTAATCAGATATCTGGTTGGAGAGAGGTGCCATAATAATCTCAACTGAGAGGCTCCTCTGTCTTTAGGTTAACAGCTGGTGCTCAGGCAATATTTGTGGCTTTAAAATATTAGCTGGGAAAACTCCGTCCTGCTTTGTGAAATCACCCCGCCACAACACTACTGTTTATGGGTGATGACTTGGCGGCGCAATCTGACAATGGTATGGTGAAGAAGATATAGGAAAAGCGGAAAGAGGAAAACGAGAATTGGTTTCTTCTTTGTACATTCACTGTGTTCTTCTCTCTGTTCCAGCAGTGGCACACAGAACCAACTGCCATCTTCACCCACAACCCCCTGCTGCGCCACCCATCGCCGGTCCACCGTCCTGAGAGTGGTTAATAAAGCGGGAGCGAACAAAGGCAGGCAGTTCTACACCTGCTCCTTACCCAGAGGATCCCAGTGTGACTTCTTTGAGGTGAAAATATAGCACATCAGTACTTAAAATTAATATATATTAAAATCTGTTATGCTTCATAGTACAAACACACCACCATGCAAATGTTTAGATTTACTTTATATACAGTATACATGTTATACAGTATAAATTTAATGACTAAATAACTTAATGATATATTATTGAAAACGTTGATTCCAAATGTTTGAGCTGTAGTTTTAATATACACTCACGTTTAGAAGTTTGGAATTACTTACAATAATTGCTGTTGTATTATTTAATAATAACTTATACAGTGTAGATTGAAATACTTTGATCTAAATTGTAAAATTGTAAACTGTGCTAAAGTCTCAGTCCAGCCAAGAAAATAGTTTAACACTATTTTTTAAGCAGTGTGATTTTGCCAGTAAAAACATTGTATATCTTTAGAATAAACACAAATAAACATAAACAGTAAAAACAGTAAAACAAAACAATTTTCTTGTTTCTGAATCCAACCATTGCATGGATTTGTTAGCATTTTGCTACATTTAACATAATGAAGGATCGATGAGCTCAATCAGGTCTTGATGTTTTACTGTAATTCTATAATTGTGTTTTTGTATCAGTGGGCAGATCTGCACTTCCCTCTGTGTCACCACGCCAAACGCACCTTGATGAGGACCGTTCTGAAACTGGGACCCAACAACGGCCGAAACTTTTACACGTGTCCACTCAAACAGGGTCAGCAGTGTGACTTCTTCCAGTGGGTTTAAAACAGCCCTGAGCCCAACGGTCTGCTTGGACCCTAAACCGGTCAAACCCATCTAAATCATGCACATCCTAAACATATGTTGTTGCCGTCATTTTTGAATGTCTTTTAAATATGTTAACATAGAGTTATTAGTAATTCTGATGTACTCCTGCAGTAACGGCCCAACCTTGAGGACCACAAAGACAAAACAAAGTAAACTTTACGTAGAATTTAGGTAGGGTTTATGTATTTTACAATATTACACTATATCTTGTTACAGAAATACTTCAAATATTAAATTTTTTATCATGTTATAAGCTATATATGGTATATAAATGTAGCCATTTGCAAAAGATTGAGTGTCCCTGGTCAAACTGCATATTTTGTTGATTTTCTAAGTGAAAATAAATTGACTTTCTAAGTGGAAATAAGACACATCCTCTATAGAGAACACATTTCTCCACATTTAATGTACAATAAAAAAATTAATAAATAAAATGTGGACCGTGCAAAACTTCTGGCACTTTTTCCCCCAAATACGTTAAGCTCAGCAAATACAGAAACCATGCACTACCATTTTCAACAAAATGTGTTCTCTGTAGGGGATGTGTTTAAAATTATTTTTGAGAAAATCGTCAAAACATCTAATTTGACCTGGGAGTGTTAGCATCACTTTCTGGTGGAACAAATCTTTCTGGGCAAACTTTGTGCATTGATTGTCAAACAAAGACAATATCCAGTTGAGTTTGGAAAAATATTAGTTTATTTTAACACGTGCCCAAATACTTGTAAAAATGTATACTGCAGTAATAAAAACAATACAATAATCTATTATGAATGCACTTCCCTGTACCTGGACATACAGCCAATTATTATTCACAATCACATTTTCTTTAGTGCAGATATATGGAGTGATTAGGACTAAATGCAGTACACCGTCTTCTGGACAGGTTTGTTGGTCTGCGAGTTGGACACCATAAAATGGAACTTGCTGAACCCAGGACTTCTGTTGCAAGCAGCACCTTCAAATGTATAAAGAAATATTTTGGATTATTTTCAGTGCTGTAATGTGAAAAGCAAGCAAACTGCTTTAATAACCTAAACAATTTCAATACATGACAAATGATGCTGAAGTAAATTATTATGAAGTCAATAGAATAATAGAACTGTCCCTTTAAACACTACGAATGTGTTCTAACTCACCATATCCCCCGGTTGTGTTGGCACAGATGAGTGCCCCAAAGAAGTCTGGGTGGTGCTTTTTGATCCTAGAGATGGCTGTCTTACAGGCAGTAGAGGGGTCAGCCCCGCTTCTCATCAGCTCCACAGCTAAAAAACTACAAATAATAACAGCAGGTTTAGAAAACCAGTGTTTCTTCTTATATTAAGGGTATTAATAGTGAGTTTGTCCCCCTTTGCTGCAGTAACAGCCTCTACTCTTCTGGGAAGGCTTTACACTACATGTTGGAACACTGCTGTGAGGATTTGATTGAGCATCAGTGAGGTAGGTACTGATGTTGGATGGTCAGTTCTGGATCACTCCAACTCATCCCAAAGGTGTTGGATGGAGCTCCATCACTCCAGAGAACAGTTCCACTGCTCCACAGCCCAATGCTAGGGGTCTTTATACCTCTCTAGCTCATGCTTGGCATTGGGCATGGTGATCTTAGACTCATTTACAGCTGCTCCAGAGCATCCCATTCTACTGGTCAGTGCTTTTCTATGGAGGTTATCGATTAGAAGAGCTGTCTGGATGCTTTTGGACAGCAATTACTGAGAGTGGAGGCTGGTAATTTGTTGAGTTTGAGTTTCAGTGGAGTTATCATGACTCACCTTAAGGCAAATGTTTTGTGTCTGAAGTTTCTTTAGTTTTAGCACTAAAGCTACAAGGCTAATGTAGCTAAGAAGTAATGGAGACTTATACCCTACTAATTAGCCTTACAGACTTACAACCTACCAGTTAGCCACAAATTTGCCTTTAACTGTGTTATGTGGTTTCTGACATTGTATAATGCACTTATCTATAAAAATATTTGAAGCATGCAGTTTGCATGACACTAATTGGTGGGGTATAAGTATGTATTACTTGTTAGCAACTTTAGCCTTGCAACTCCAGTGCAAAACTAAATAAGACAACTTGACACCAAACATATCACAGCTGTTTCCATTTGGGATAAAGAGGACAAAAGTAAGTACATTTGATTTTTCACCAAATTATCACTTTAATGTAGTGGTTACCTCGGGAGGAAACGCATCATGATGTCTCCTTGGCCGGTTGCAGCAGCGCCACCTGCTGAGCTATCTGCATACGCCCCCGCACCAGCCACTGGAGAATCCCCCACTCGCCTACAGAGAGAAGCACACACTCCTCTTACAGCAGCTCTGACTGCAAATAAATTAACTCAGCTAGAGCAGTAAAAAGCTTTCACCACTGAGATAATCGCGTCATCCATCACCTTTACTTTATGGTCTTCTTGATCAGTGTGTAGACCTGTGCCAGTAAGGGGGACGGAGGATATTTTTACATCCATGATGGTCCCTAACAGTTCAGTAAAAGCTGTGGTTGTAGTATATTGGTCACAGAACTATACTGAATTTAGTTGTGAACGTCACACTGACTTCACTGTCTGACAGTTTGTGGCCGCTTTGTTGAGTCCTTTGCCTTCCTCTCTCCTCCTGAGGCCATGTGAAATGGCCTGATGAACGAGAGCTGAGACATGATTTTACCCATGTTTTTCAGTCTGAAACATGACGCTGTGGTCTGAGGATCCTAAAATGTGCACAGTACCAAAGAGGCAGCTTTCTGTACAGACATGAAATCAGTCTGCTGCACAGAGCATGTTCAACTAGCGCAGCTCAACAACCGTTTTTACAGAACTCTCACCTCGTCTGTATTGGTACAACAGATATGGCAATAATGTAGGATATCACATCACGCAATGCTTAAACTTTGTGTGGGAATATTGTGCACAATATTTGCACAAAGCAACTTTTTTTAAGCAGTAAATGAGCTGCCATTGGGGGCTGTTACCATTGTGACTCCATTGACCATCACTGGCACAGGCCTATCTGTGAGTTATATGTATACACATAAAAAGTGGTTCTATATAGAACCATGAAGACTGAAAGAACCCTTTGCATGATTAAAGGGTTCTTTGCAACATGAAAGTGTTCTTCTCACTGACGGAGTATGTACTGTAGATGGTTCTATATAGAACCTTTTTGAAAATGGTTCTATACAGCACACAAAAGAGTTCTTCTATGGTTATAGTGTCAAGCTTATAACAACAGAAGAACCCTTTTCGGTTCTATATAGAATCCTTTTCAAAAAGGTTCTATATAGAACCATCTATAGCACATTCAGACACATTATCCATCAATCCGAAGAGCCCTCTCATGATGCAAAGAACCCTTTAATCATGCAAAGGGTTCTGTAAGTGTTAATGGTTCTATATAGATTTAATAAAGAAAACCTGAAGAACTATGTTTTTTTAAGAGTGTAGTTAATTGGGACTAGATCCATCTGGATCAGCATTACAGAGAAATATAATACTAATTTATGGATTACAAATCCAGAAATAAATGCTGATACCGAGATGTATCATCATAGATCTCTAGTTAACTGTGTCTAAAGTGCTGTCCAGTGAGTGCTGTTCTTTTAGGCTGGTTTTACTGACCCAGGCACTTTATGGGTCGCTCCATTGGTTGAGGTTGCAGCAGCCACCTGACCATTCTTTCCAATCACAATCATTCCTAAAAAGGACAAGAAATATCATCAGTTTCATTCACACAAACACCAGAACTTCAAAGCTTTTGATTTTTTATACCTGCTCCTGTCCTGCTCCTACACAGACCATAATAATTAATTTAACATCTAAAAATCAGAATAATACATCATTGAATAATTAATAGCTCCTAAAAATGTGCAGTTAAAACTTTTTAGAACTAAATTGGTGCCATTAAACAACCTCTGCACCATTATTGTACTAGTTATCCATTACACCTCTTTAGGAACTCCTCCCAGTTTGTGTTAGTCATGCTCTAGTTTCTGACCACAGAGCAGCTCTTGTGTGGATACTGCTTGGGCGGTGGACTGCTCACAACCTCACAGTGACGCTGCTGTGCTGAGAATGGTCCACCACCCAAATGATACCAAAAAAACAGTGGTCCAGTGGTGGTCTCTTTCCACTGCATTGCAAAGTGCTCCTGTATAGTAAGTGTTTCCAATAAACTGGCCAATGACTGTAAGTGGGGCTAATAAACTAGCAACTCAGCATATGTTTTTATGTCTTATATAACTTGCTCTTACGTCAGCTATAAATCTAATCATGTCCAGAGAACATTACCGATGGTATCATGTGAGCGGAGGTCAGGTAGTCCATGTTTTCGTCCTGGGCCCAACTGCAGCTTAGCGTTGGGTTCATATGGCCCACATGACATGGAAGCATTTGGAAAAACATTCTGAAAAAGAAAAGAAAGAATCAAATCTGAAATCCTGATTTAATCACAAAATTTAAAATAACACACACATTAAAAAAATGGTTCTATATGGAACCATGAACAGTCAAAGAACCCTTGCATGATTAAAGGGTTATTTGCATCATGAAATGGTTCTTCAGACTGAGAATGTGCTATAGATGGTTCTATATAGTATCCAAAAGGCTTTTTCTATTGTTTTGGTGTCAAGCTTGGAACAATAGAAGAACCCTTTTGGGTGCTATATAGAACCCCTTTTTAAAACGGTTCTACACAGAACCATCTATAGCACATTCATGCACATTTTCCATCAATATGAAGAACACTTTCATAATGCAAAGATCTCTTTAATCATGCAGAGGGTTCTTTGAGTGTTCATGGTTCCATGTAGAACCATTTCCTTTGCTAAAGAACCCTTGAAGCACCATCTTTTTAGAGTGTATGATAAAAGTGAGTATTTTCAACTCTTAAACCTAAAATTAGTGCTCAGCAACGACAGTTGCATTGTTTTCGTATTTGCTTATCCACTTCAGGTTTCCAAAAGCTAAGAAGGGACTGTGATTTGATTAACTTGGCCAACTACCCAGACGGTTTAATCTTCCTGGGTGTGAACAAGAGAAAATAAATAAAAAACACATTCATCAAATCCCACTTCCCATCTCCACACAGCTTTGATAGTGCCAACTCTAACAGCATGTTGGGATCAACTATTGTATTCTCCCGAAAGCTGGTGATGAATTATTCATTGTAGCATTGGTTCGTTGAGCTTGTTTCTTATGGCTGAGATTAAATTGATATCCTTCCAGAACTTCTCACCAAAGTCCACATGAAGAATTTTAATGAGGCTGACACATACGTCTAATAGTTTTGGCTCTGTTATAAACACGGGGGAGATGTGCTAATGGCGATTGTGCTAATCATAACACTGTCGAAAAGGAGGACGAAAGGCCTTTGCCTTTGTTATATTACTTTTATCGAATCTCTGAGCTAAGCGCACTAAACGTGTCAAGGACTTTATGCCCACGTTAGCAGTCCATCAAAAAACTTTGACCCTTTCAGACCTACATTAAGAACGCTCTGCTTTTTCTAGAATTGAAATAGGAGATATTAGTCAATAAACAACTTCAATAAACACTCCTATACACTACAATAGGAGATATTAGTCCCTAAGCAACTTCAACAAACGCTCCAATACACTAGAATAGGAGATTAGTCCATACACAACCTCAGTAAATGCTCATATACACTAGAATAGGAGATATTAGTCCATAAACAACTTCAACTAACACTCCTATACACTAGGAGATATTAGTCCATAAACAACCTCAATAAATGCACTAGCACAGGAGATATTAG